AGAAAAAATCTACTTGAGATAATTATGATCTTTCATCTGACATCTGTTAAAAACTGAAGCCACACTTGCTCAAAGCATATAAATTGATGCAACTATACAATACATTTAGAAATGATGAAGGGCAAGTTACTAATAAAATATATCAACCAAGGCTAAAATGATACCCCAAGATCCAGACCAGTAGGCCTAGATTGTTCTAAACCTATTTTCATAAGGGTTCTCAAATGCCTCCACCTACCTTCTAGCTCACCATCCAAAGGTAGGGAAAAAAAGTAGATAAATAGGACAAGGGAATGTGGGTATGTTTAGAAGTAGTTCCTTGGGGTGCTTCAAACCTCTGTTTGTCAGGATACCAGCAGCCCAGTTCAGTAGTGTCAAGATAGCAAACAGACATCAACAGCTTATGCCCTAGCAGAAACTTCTTGGCTTCCTCCTAATCAGCAAGGGGCATCTAGAGGGCCCAGGACCAGTTAAGTCACCAGGAGGTCTCAACTCAGCCTCTCTCAAGGAAGCGAAGATCAGTGAAGACAAGACATGAGATCAACTAAGTGTTGCAATGCTAGCTATGCGGGCACCACCAAGGGAATCTGCATACCATAACCCAATCAGAAACATTCACTTCAGAAACCAACAAAAAATTTTAATACCAGGCTTGAGAAACTCCCTTTAGAGTTGTTGGTCAGGGATATCCAAGAGACTCCCAAACATTATAAGGTAATAAATAGTATTGTCCTTTATTGCTTCAGAGAGGTTGAAGGTAAGTCCCTATTCTGTATGACACCATGGACTTCAGACACATGAAAAAGAGTTCTAAGCTGTATCCATCCTAAAATCCACTTTCCTGGAGACTAGGTTTTATGGTGCCATAAGGTAGCATTAGAATGGCTAAGGAAGGGAAGTAGCCAATAATCCTACTTGGCTGTAATGCCTCTGAAATACAACCACCCACATGGGTTGAATACTGACATGGATATCATAATAGTTATAAACAGCTCTCTAACTGAACTCTTGGTGCAGACAACAAAAGACAAATCATGCCTTATACTATCAACCTAGCCCACTGGGGCCAGCAAGTTCATGCAAGTTTACTAAACTAGCATAATTTCTAACTGCATTTTGAACCCACAAGTTAGTCAAGTTATCATCTCTCATTATCTTTGCAACATAAGAAATCCATTACATATAACCACAACCAATAATGATTCAGATAATGACTGATTTGTACCAGACATAGCAACAACTGATACACACATTCTAACCTACAAATAAGTTTCTTAAAACAGGAGGTAAAACAATTCAAAATAGCTTCAGGAAGTCCTTCCTTTCCCACACAAACCAGAATAAGGAATAAGTCTGGGAATCTTCATATAAAATAGCTGCAAGGAAGGATTAGACAAGCCAAGCTGCAAATATTCTGAGAGCAAACCAGACTTCTGACTGAAAGAAGCTGAAATTAGTTGAGCTTCCTGGAAAATGTTTAGACTGAGTTATGTAGGAAAGAGACTCTTTAACCTGTTGAGCTTCCTGCCTGCTGTGCGATGTGCACCAGGTTCACAGTTTTGTGAGCTGTCAGCCCCACTAGTTGAACTTTTGATGATCCAGCTGTTTTTGAGTAATTTCTGTTCCTGTAAGTAACTCCTCACTCATATTTTTGAAGGTAACCCAAAACATTCATCAGTTCACCAAGTATATCTTTTACTTTGATCTGTTGTGGGCTCACAATTTGGGGTGAGTAGATGTATGTATAACATCTCCCCAGGAAAAGTTTTATCACATAACAATATTCTTCAGAACTCTTGATCCTAAAGCTTAGGAAACATCATGGAAGAGAGTTACAAAGAAATATTGTAAAAGCCAGAGGACCAAGAAATCTGTGGACTGCTGTGACATTGTGTCTCACACAAATATTTGGGAAGCTACACACATGAAGTCTCAACAGCATGGTCACCCAAGCAAGACCTGAATAAAGACAACACTAACAGGGATGCAAACACGAAATGGTGGAATCTCACTGTTCCCCTACCCCAAAAATCTATGGATAATTTAGGAATGTTGAGAGTAGGAGACACTCTCTTCTCTCCAGGAAAAAAAAGCCCTCTAATTGGTTATCCATTACCACATCATCAGACATGAATTCATCTCTATACATTTAATATTTATGGACTGACTGAGCAGATTATAATTGTGTATTTAGGAATCTCTCTCTCTCTCTCTCTCTCTCTCTCTCTCTCTCTCTCTCTCTCTTGTCTTTCTCTCTCTCAAGGATATAACCGTAGTGGTAAGTCAAAGACAGAACCAGTAAAAGACAGGAATATATTATGAAGATGAAAACAGAGGGAGTTGCTAATAAGATTGTCTGAGTGTGTGTTTGTGTATGTGTGTGTGTTGAAAATATATTTCTAATATTTTGCTATGAGAAATTGGTAGATATTTGTTCTTATCAAGGAAATTCGGAGCATTGGCAATGAAGCAGAAAAATCAACTTTGGTCTTGATTTTTGGAAATACCTAACAGAGATCACAGTGACACTGCTGGAGTAACAGTTGGACCAACTGTCTTAGACAGCTTTGGGTCAGAGATGTAAGTTTGAGAAACAAGTTAGTTGCTGTTTTAAGCCATAGTACTAAGAAGATCCACATCCAGGTTGTATATCACAGTCACCATTACAGTCATGCCAACACCAGTTCTTCTGCCTTGTAATTTCACCAATGGATACATGGCGTCTGTTACCTCTGCAGTAGAGGTATGGTAACTGGAGAGGCTTATAACTACTCGTCTCCCTTTATGACCATGACTCACTCCAGTGGTTTATCGATCAGACTCAGTCAGATGCCCCAACCTAACTGGAAAGCTCTTGGAATATGAAGATATTGTAGTCCCTGGTGGGTCCTGCTGGTTCTTATCTCAAATTTTATTTCTAAGTAGAAAATAAAGTTATAGAGCCGTGATTCTCAGCCTTCCTAAAGCTGTGAGCCTTTAATACAGTTCATCATGTTGCAGAGACCCTAACCATAAAATCATTTTTATTGCTACTTTACAACTGTAATTGTGCTACTGTTATGAATTGTATTGTATATAGTTTTGGAGATAGAGATTTGCCAAAGGGGTTGGAACCCACGGGTTGAGAACCACTGCCTTAGGTGGTAAAATACCTATTCAAATTATTGAGATAAGACACAATAATGTGCATTTCTGTAGTTAATTTAACATAATCATTTGAAACTATGCCAGCTCCAGTGACAATGCCAAAGGGTGAATTTTAGGAGGCAGGCAGGTAAAGCTTGAGGTTTTTTCTTAATAGTCTCTTATTTTTCAATCTTTATTCAACCTAATGTGAGCACTCTCTCCAATCTATTCTAAAGTAATATCCAAATAAATCTTCAAACATAACTTTTAGGCAGAAACCCACTGATGAAATATTTTCTGAAAAATAAATCCTGAAGACAGTACAGCTCAGTCATAATGTGCTAAAAAATGGGAACATGCACATCAAATAAGTCATTGCAGTTAACTTCATCTAACACAGAGAAATGAACCCTGAACACTAACATCACTATTGAATTAAAGCATGGGAGGGTTCAGTGCTTTCTTTCTAGACTTGCAGGCATCTCTTTATAATCTTGAATGCTATGTTTATGCAGTTTTAACTGTCATAACTTTTACTACAATAAGCCATTCTTTCCCTGACAATTTTATGAGCATATAATATGTTTTAAATCTCATTATTCTAAGATTACAGTCCAGGTTACAGGTTCTGGATAAAAGGATTTTAAACAGGTATTTGATTCTTAAACAAAAAACATCAAAATGAAACAGTGACATTTTCTGTCTAGAGACCAGTTTAAATAATTGATATTTCTTTTGAAAATATTGCTTTTGCTGTTGGAGTGTCGTTGGAATAATACTTTGGCATTAGACTTCAAAATAACCAAGGTTCTCGAGAGGCAGAGGTAGGATAGTGGATATTGGGATTTGGAGTACAGTTGCTTTTGAAAATTGTGACCTGATGATGGGATTTGTCATAGACACCGGGTGTCTAAGCAACTGTTGCTTAGATACTGTTTCACTGTAGAAATATAATAGCCTAAGTACTAGAAGTTTGTACTATCAGAATCTAATAGTCACTGGCCTTAATTATTGAGATGTGTACAAAATAGTGTAAGAAATAATTGCAATCTTGACACAACTATTGGATCATTTCAGGCAAATAATGAACAAATTATGTTACACTTTTATTGTTTCCATAGAAATACCAAGTAAAAATGTTAATATTTTTGTTTGTAAAAGAAAATATCTATGTATGATTACCAGTAAAATAGTTATTTTAGTCCAAATGGTTTTCTGTCATCTTAAATATGGTTATAAAATTTAAACAAAAAGAAGTGTATACATTCCTGTACATTGTTTATGCTAGTTCCTTAATATTTACTTACTAATTTTTCCAAAGCACTTAAGTGATGTTTGGTAAGCTCATAAGATAGAATAAATCACTAAATAATGAACACAGTCTATGGTAAGCTTAGAAAGAAGAAAAATTGAGCATATGTACAGTCTATTATGAATATTGTATTTACATAAATTTTCCATAAAGTCTACAAATAGAGAATAAATGATTCTAATGGGAATATATGAGCATTAACAAAGCGATGAAGTTTTCATTAAGTAAAAAAAAAAAATCACATTAAATGGTTGAGTTAAACTTTGCTTATTAGACAACACATTAACGCCAGTTTATATTTAGCAGATGACTTTTTTCAATCCAAGAATGGCAAGTGCTTTGCATCAAACATTTACATTTCAAAAGTCATAAGCAATAAAAGAACTGATTTTCTTATATCTATTTAATGAACTATTTGAATGATATTGAGAAAGCCCTAGCTTAGTGGCAACTGTATATCCAAATGAGTATTATGGAATTATAAAGAAAGTAAACAGCAAGTAAACAGACTAAAATTGAGCAGAAATAGCACAACTGATTTGTGTTTTCCGAAACATTTCAGGTGTTGTCAAAGTGGATTATGGAGATGTGTCAGTCAGAAAAACACTAAGGGAAAATCTGAAGTGTAAGCCTTTTTCTTGGTACCTAGAAAACATCTATCCGGACTCCCAGATTCCAAGACGTTATTACTCACTTGGTGAGGTATGAATTATTTATTTTTCTTAAGTTATAAATATATCTTGCAAATGGAGCAATTTCTAAGGAGCTCAATATTTTTTATGTTATGAATAAAATACTATAAGGATTTTAAATGAATCTATTTTAAACGATTTCTCATTTTTTCAAGGACTGTGAAGGTCTTCAACATGTGAAATTGTAAAGTATGGAGAAGTTTAGGACTGTACGAACAATATTTTATTGTTTCTTTACCAACAAACAAAAGTGTGTTGGTAATATGAACTTATTTTCTTAATCATTTTGTCTGTGAACTCCAAATAGTTTTTACTTCTGAGTATTATAATCATTAATGTCTTCTGGATTGAAAGCAAAATTGATATTTGAAACATTGCACACTACTTAACCTACGTAGCCACAAATTTTGTTACAGTCATGTATTTTTGAATAACAAAACATATTTTCTAGATGAAATCTAAGATTGAAATGTCTGTCATCAATTATACTTTATAGATTATTATAAAAAGCATTTGACCACAATAATATAGTTAATTTATGAAATAATATTTAATGAATATAAGTTTATATTTTAATTATCATTTGTATATCATAATAGTAAAATATATAATAGTTAATTAGGTTCAATTTAGTATATTTGGTAGTCATCAACCTGTATGTAAAAAAAACAATAGAAGAAAATTTGATTATGTCGAATGGAGCTGAGTAGTTTTTAATGATTATTTTGAAGTGCTTTCCCAATGTTCTATTGGCCAAATGTATATCCTTCATGTGTTATCAGTGGAATTCTTTGAAGTGAATTTCAGTTTCCATGTATTTAATGTGAATTGTGTAATAAAAAGTCTTACATATAGTAACATTGACAATTTTTCGCATGTGTAGCTTAAGTCACTAATTAGTTCTACTTTGACTTTGTTTATATGGGGAGGATATCATAGCTGTTCCTTTCTAATATATAATATATACATGTTAACACTGATTTCACAGAGGTTCATATTTATAGTGTATGAGAATGCATTCTATACAAGAACACTCCTCTCCCTCAAACTACGATAATCCATTAATAATCTCTAGTAAAGTGTTTAATATTCCTATCACTATATTAAAAAATCTCATTGATCATGAGTTCCAATTTACCTTATAGAAGAGCAGTAGTTCCCTTCTTGATATAGAGTAATCTTTTCAGTTTCTCAGAAACATATGAGAAGAAATTCCTGCCCTCCTTTTAATTAAGTGAGTGGAAATAATCAAGGAGCGAAACTTTGGGAAACTCACTGGGACCAACAGATTACTCCTGAAAAAACTTGAACCTTATTGACTAAACAGATCTAGATACTTACAGTCAAAATAAAAAATTAATTTTAAGCTTTGTGAATATCCAGGAAATCTAATTGATTTCCTTTTAAATAGAAATTTAGTGCCGTCAAGATAATGTGCTAATTTTGAATTATCTATCTTCTGTAATAAATCAGATACGTGAAAATATTCCTCAAAATTTACACAGTGATTGGTGGTTTGTTTGTTTGCTTGTAATATACATAGAATAGGTAGCATAGTACATTGGGGAAAATCCTAAGACCTCAATGAGCAAGTAAGGCTTATATCAAGTCTCATAGCATCATTAGAGTGCAGAAGTTGTGGCTTAATAAGTACCTAAACTAGATTGTCTGCTACAGAGCCTGGGAAGACACGATAGAGGAACTGATTTTTTCATGATGCTAATATTGGTCTCGGTAGTTTTCATTAATTTTATTATTTCTACCTGACAATACTTCTTCAATCTGGGCTGTTTTTATGTTTTAGTTCCTGAAAGAATTTGGGTGACTTGCCTACATGCCACTTAGCAAATTAATTACTGAAGTCAGAATTCAAATAAATATCGAAGTCTTGCACTATAGCTCATACATTTGTGATTTCATGAAAGAAAATAACAGCATTATATTCATTAAAATACTTTCATTACATATAACCTGAGTCCTTATTTATATGGCAAACCATGACTGAAACTTCTGTCATCTCTTCAGGCAAAATGGGTAGATGATAGCATAAAGTTGTATTTTTTTTCACTGTGACTTCTTGGTGATTGTGACCTAAACCTAATTAAAAGCATAATAAGCAAATCCAAAACAAAAACAAAAACAAAAGAAAAACCTCTGAGTCTTATTTCATACATATGCTAATAATGCAAAGTTAAATGAAAAACAAACAAAATCCTGTACATTAGAGCCATTCTACTGAAATTGAGAGTGGATACAGGAGGACCAAGAGGCAATCAAACAGAAAAAAGTGGAGGTCAAAATCCCCTGAATGAACTACATAATGGTACGATCTTACTCAAACACCAAGTAAATTTAAAGTTTTGAGCTTCCTGGAATGTTAGTGTACTATAGCTTTCTACTTTAAAAGCAGACTCCAAAGAAATCCAACACAACATCTGTATCCATGGAAACAGAAAGGCAAATTCACCAAGCTCTCCTCAATTCTATTTTGCTTAGCTGTGTATACACAATTTAAGATGGGCACCTTGAAAATGTGTTAGTGTTTAACTGCTAATGGACAACAGTCACGATATGAGGCTTTTTCGTTTTATTACCTGTCATGGTTTTCATTATGGGAGAATGGACATTCTAATAGAATTTGCAGGTTGTGCCAGATGTAGAAGCTACTTTTTATCAAATTATTTTTTAATCTAATCATGGTCTTCTTTAATGTGTAGTCAGTTTTAAAAATTTAAGATGTTGAATACTCCTTTAATGTCAGCTTTCTAAAAAGTCTACATATTTATTATTGTTCTAAGTTGAAAAGGAAACATTTCTCCATCAAGTTATTTTATTGTTGTCTTTATTTTGTTTGATGATGCAGAGGCTCATGACAATCAGTTTCTCTATTTTTATATACCAGCAATGAAATGAACATCAGTAAAGCTATTCATGTCAGACATATTATATTACTGTCTGATATTTACATCTTACGCAGATAATTGAAATATTACTTTCTCCAACCCAAAAATTATCTAAAATTGACAACCAGAAGTTAAAAGATGTGCAATTGCTTTGAACTCAAACCTTTAAGTAACTTAATGAAGCATGTGCCTTTTAGGCTCAGTAAGCAGCTCATAATGGAATAAGAAGGTTGAGCCCTTTGCAGCATTAACTTCTCTCTTAAGTAGCCCTTTAGCTTATGTAGATTTAAAGTGACAGGTTCAGATATACTAAATAGAAAGACTAATTCAGATACAAGATTGAAATAAATAACCTTCGAAATAGAATGCTGGTCTAATTTTTGAGCTTTGACAGGGTACCATTCTGTGTGTATCGTAAGCTATTTGGAACAAAGGACTATCAGAGGGCAAACAGATGAAAGGAGGATTTCTGGAGCCAAGTGACTTAACCCTTAGTACTTAAAATTCCCATTTGCATGGTCCCTAGACATGCTTTGACATTGGTCTGTTCATTTTGTGTTGTGCTGTTGACCTCAGCACTTTCTTCTTCTATTAGATCCTTTAACCATATCAGCTTGTTAATACCCTTAAATATATATTTCTCATATATTTTTGTGGAGCATACTTAAACAGACAAAAATAGACATATATAAAGCTGCGAGGCTGCATGGATTATGGATACAATCAGTTAACTAACAAGTGTGGAGGCTAAAATACTTAAAGGCTTACCCACCCTTGGTAATCAGATTTATTTATAGATTCACAATGTTCTTGACCTTTTAAATTGGATAACCCAGTAAAAATAAAGTCTCTTTCTAGGTCAGACATACAAATGTGAGCATTCTCTATTCATGGTTTAATTCCAATATCTTGGGGACCCAGCAGCTGATTTTCATCCAGAATAAATGAGTATGCACATCTGTAGGTGAAATAAGTCATATTTTGATAATTTAGAGTTGAATTCAGTTTGATTTTATTACCTAAATAGATTTTCTTACAAATAGCTGCAACAAACTATATGCAGTTTGGTATCTGAGTAAAGTAGTTTTGGATTTGTTAACTACACAAATTACTTACTTTAGGATTCACTCAAGTTTAGAGATATATAAGATAATTATTGTATATACAAAAAAGTAACCATATTATGGAAGTCAATGTAGAATCAGTATTAATATTAAATATGTGTTAAGTAATGATAACTAATTAAAATATAAATATACTGATGTAATTAATATTTTCTAAGGTTCTTGTTCAAGCATAAATGATTTTATTCTTCACTTCTATAATGGAGTTTTTATTGTAAAGATTGATTGGTAGCACGAGGACAATTCCACTATTTTTAGATTGCAGTAACTCTGCTCTTGGCAATCCAGCTAAGGGAATAAAGCTAAGTACTGCTAAGAGGGCTTCTGGTGAGCAGAAAAAAAGTTGTGTAATGGCTTGCTCATTTCCAACATCAACAAGAAAGTATCAAACAATGTCCTTATTTATAACTTTAAGAATTATTTGCAAGCAATAAAAAGATAATGTGTAAACAAAGAAACCAAACAGCAGATAAGCAACTAAATTAGAAATGCCTTGGTCTTATGACATGCAGTCAATGCTATATTACAGCATAGAAAATAAGTCAAAGAGTTTCCAGACTTTCAAACTCCAACCTCCCTCTTGTTACTTCGATACAGATCATAGAACACACACATGAGGGATTCTTAAAGGATAAGGTACTTTACTGGTTGATTGCCATTTCTCAAGACAGATCTCAGTGGCAGGACAGGACCTTGCCCATTGTTTTCACAGATACCCTTTAGGAGCACACACTTGACTGTGATAGCAAATTGTCCTTAGGTTTCTGGTTTTAAACTCATATACACAATAGTAAGTCTAGTAGGTCAAAGGGAAATTTACATTATGCAGATCCTAGTAATAGAAGTTAGGTTTACCGGTTTGGAGGCAAATGACACCTGCTGAGCCATCTGACTGAAGCTGTTTCCAGTCTACAGAACTGGATTCCCAACTGTGTTTCTGGATAATTTATGACTTACCATTATGGCTTTTGTTGCCTCTGATC